ACTGTACTTTGGTAAATAACACCAAATGACAGGCAGTGGTCTTTATTACATTGGTATAAGTTACCAAGAAATTCTTGCCACTTGAGTTAGTTTCCTCAAAGTTTATGTTAGCTGAGAATATTAACTAGATTAATATCTAGCTAAAGGAAATTATTTAGTGTATTGAAGGTTTCCTCCTTTTTTCTCCTTTCCCCCTCTCTTTCTGGAGTTTATTCTGCCCACAGAGAAAGGGTACAGGTTCACAACCAATTATTTTTCTCCTCTCTACCTGCCCTCCTGGACCTGGAGTCCTTCCCAGTGGGTAGGAGCAGCCACCACTACCACCACTGAGGCTTGGACATGCTTGCCCAACTCGATACCCCTTGTCTTCTGTGAATACACACCTCACTTCCACTCACAGCCACCAACTTCATAACAAAGCCATCTGCTATAAATAACAGGAGCTCCCTTGCCCTACTTTCAGAGGGAATCATGACCAGATGATTACATCACACCCAAACAGTGCAGAACACACACACTATGCACACCAAGTCCTGCTCACCTTCATGGACACATCTGATGTTTGAAGCTCATCCAACTTTAACTGAAGTTTGGCCTTTTCTGTGTTTGCTTCTGCAAGCTTTTCATTTAAGCGTTTTACATCCTCTGGAGGAGGGAAATCAGTGTTAAAACCACCCTAATTGTGTAACAGCTTTGATTACTCACCTAACTAAATTGTACAGAATGAGAACAGGCGAGACGTAATGTATGTAATTGTATGTTGGGCAGTAAAATACCATATAAGGTATGGTTTTAAATCTACAAAAACAAGCACCAAACTGCTGTTTTTCTGCAATTAGTGTGTTATTTCCTGCCTTGTTTCCTTTCCTCTAAATACTGATTCCTGCTAATCCATTACATGGTGCTGCCTGGCTACTCCACTCAATTCAATTGCTCAAGCATGTCTTTTTATTCAGTATTTTATGACTTGGCTGTACCATTTAAATGTTCAACCTCCTGGGATCGCCTTTCGCTTGTTCGAACCAAGTCTCTCTTCTCAGCTTCCAGTTCTTCCTTCTCTCTACTTAACTGGCTCTGAAAAAAATGGAAAAAAATCAATAAAGAAGTGTGACCAGCTCTCTGCAACAGTTTATAGTCACCACTCACACTTAGAATCACACAGCAGCAAGCTAAACCTCAGTAAGTCACTCTAGCCAACTGAGAACTGGGATAAGAGGCTTACAGAGTGGGCAGCTGAATCAGTCTAACAATAGGAACTGTTCAAAATTGCATTTAATTTTAATATTCTTTGAAAGACAGATTTGATACTCAAGACTTCGTTGAAACAGTTTTAGTTGGTTAAACAAAAGAGGTAACAGAGTAAGCAAGGAATACGTGTAAAAAAAATCAATATAAAAATCAAATCAAAGTCAATGATCTTGGATTATTTATAGGCAACAGCAGTGCCTCTGCCTTCAAGATGTCACTACAAAGCACCTCAGTCAGGCCTGGGTAAGCCTCCCTGGGGAAACCATCAGATCAGTCCTGTTATTGTGGAAAAATCAATCTAATAATCTTGAGTTTGCTTCCTGCTCCAAAATTACTGTCCTGCTGGATCAGTCAGCTCAAGTGACTTATCCTGCAACCCCAGACTTTTGAGCATAACACTGAGCACAAAAGGAAAACTGTGCCTGAGAGTGGGAAAGAATGAGGAAAAACAGAATTCTGGTTTATACCTTTGTCTGAATTTTCAGGGTTTGGCTTAAAGTCACTTCCCAAGAGGTTTCAGCCAGAATGGAACAATCCACCCAAACTGAAACAAAAGGAGCTGCTCACCTGTCACTCAGTTTGCTAAAACACCAGCTTTTACTGATGTGAGCCCACACGGTTTTCCTGTACACATGTAAATACCCACACCAGGACATACTGGTCCAGCCCAGTTGGGAACTGGTTGCACTCTGTGCTGTACAGGGAATCCAGGTGAATCCCAGGATTTGAGGTTATGGCCACGTTCCCCCAGTACCTGAACGGCCACGTTCCGGTCCTGGGCAGCCTCGAGCTCCTTGTTCTTCTCACTGAGTGACTTCAACTGCTCATCTGTTGGGTGAGAACAAACAGCAGTGAGGGATCTCCACTGTAATATGACAACATTCACTCTTCAAATGGAACCGAGTCAAAAATTCCCTTAAACATCTTTAATAAAAAAAACCCCAAACAAACGATTCCAGACTTCCCTCTGAATGGACAGGGTGGTGGTGTGGCAGACTAAGGCAATCTTTAGAGCAAAGCACTTATTGTGCACATTAATTCATTACTACAAAAGTCACAAAGCAAGGTGGGTTTTTTCCATCAGGACAAAAAATGTCATTAAAAAGGCCGACTTGAACACAAAACCAAAACACCTCTTTACGTGCAGAAACACAAGTGCAGCCGATGATGGATTTTCAACTCCTAAAGAATTCCAGCAGAAACTGGGCTAAAGGATGGATATCCTGCCCAACCTCAGGAATGCACAGTTCACTTACGAAGCTTTTTGAGCTCCTCCCGCAGAGTTTGACATTCCTGGGTCTCATTCACAAGCCTCTCCTGACTCTGAGCCAGTCGCTTTTCCACTTCAAAGTACTGTTGTTCTGCAGGGTAACAAAGTCAGCTCAGTTGCATTTCATAAACACTTCCTTTTCTTTCTCAACTTTACAAAGAATCCTTATTAACAGACATTTCTACCAAAGAAAGGCATTTATAAAGAAAATATCTAAAAATACTAGGACTGTAGTGGAATTTGAAAGAAAAAAAGCATTTTTAAAAGCAAAGAGCTGCATTTCCACATTGAATTAACATTGTTTAAAATATTTTGCTAGCATGAAAAGTTTCCAGAAATTGTGATATGTTTCAACCTGGTCTAGTGGGAGGTTCCAACCATGGCAGGGGGTTGGAACGAGATGAGCTTTAAGGTCCCTTCCAACCCAAACTGTTCTGTGATTCTATGAAATGATCCATAAAATAACAGCCTAATGAATCTGAATAGTTCTTTAACATTTCTGATGTAGCCACAGATGATGTAGCAGCACAATTATGCAATGTGCTTTTATCAACTTACAACTTCTTTTACCTCTGAAGTATTTCTTTGCATGTACAATAAACCCCACATAATCCCAGGTATCAAGGGGTTTGACTGGGAAAAGTTGTAATGAACACTTCCTAAAATGAATTCCTGTGTTCTATTCCCTGAGTACTGAAAAGAATAATTAGGCTTGAATTTCTTTAATCTGAAACAGTAACTGTGTTATGGAGCTTCACTGTAAAATACTCAGTAGAAGCAGAACTCTTGGGGAGAATGGGCTCCTAAGGAAGTCCTGAGGGATGTTTCTCTATCTCCTGCTTCCTCTCACACCTCTCAGTTTCAAATAATGTTGCCCCTCCTGCCATACATGAGAAGAATGGACTTGGAAGAGCACCCTGCTAAAATCGGTGGGTTCCCTTAATTCACACTGCACTTGAATAATTCATTTAGCAAGACTTCTATCATGAAAGAGGCTGAAAGAAAGGTGGAAGTAAAGTGTCACATCAGAAGCATATCACATTCCCAATAAATGAACTGATTCCCAACCTTACACTCTTGTCTCCTGTTCTCTCCTGGTACTATTGTTCTGTGACCAAGTAACCTCCAAATCAACATAAAAACATTGATTTTCTTGGGACCATTTCACAGAATGGCCTTCAACACGTTATGTAGCAGAAAGGTATAAACCTGAGGCTGTTTGACAGCTCAGGAAACAAAACTCTATTTCTTCTCCACGATGAGGATCAGAGCAGGCTGAAGCACAGAATCATCTGGGCTTGAAGAGACCTGGAAGGTCAGAGTCCAACCATCCCCCAGCACTGCCAAGGCCACCTGTAACCTGTGTCCCCAAGTGTCACAGCCACATGTTTTTGGACACCTCCAGGGATGGGGACTCCACCACAGCCCTGGGCAGCTGTGCCAGGGCTGGACAACTCTTTCACTGAAGAAATTTTCCCAAGATCCAACCTGACCCTCCCCTGGCACAGCTGGAGGCCGTTCCCTCTCCTCCTGTCCCTTGTTCCCTGGGAGCAGAGCCCGACCCCCCCCGGCTCCCCCCTCCTGTCAGGGACTTGCAGAGCCAGAAGGTCCCCCCTGAGCCTCCTTTTCTCCAGGTTGAGCCCCCCCAGCTCCCTCACCTGCTCCTGCTGCTCCAGCCCCTTCCCAGCTCCCTTCCCTTCCCTGCTCACGCTCCAGTCCCTCAATGTTCTTTAAACCCGCTCCAAATAGTTTTAACCCTGAACATTCTTGGTAGGAGGAAAAAAAAAAAACAAAAAAAGAAAGAGACTCCAGGAGCCAACGAGAGAGACCAAACACGACCAGGTCCCACTGCAGTGCCCTTCCCAGCCTCACAGCCCCCAGGGTACCCCCCGGAAGCCTCTGGAAGGCCCCCCCGTCCCGCCGCGCTCCCTCTCCTCAGCCAGGCCCGCGGGCCCGCCGCGCCCCCCGCCCGCACTCACCGCTGTCCACCTTGAAGCGCTCGTGGCGGGCGCGCAGCCCCTCGATCTCGCCCTGCTGGTCGCCCAGGAAGCGCTCCAGCTTGCCCTGCACGGCGCGGGGCAGCTTGGCGAGCTCGGCGCGCTCCAGGAGCTGCTGCAGCACGGCCGCCATGGCCACGGCCCCGCCTCACTGCGCCCGCCCTCCAGCGCTTCCGCTTCCGCCGCCGCCGGCGCGGGGGCGGCACCAGCGCCACGTGAGAGCCCCGGGGCTCGTGTCCGCGGGGGATGTGAGGCTGCCGGTGCCTTCAGGGCTCCTGCTGCCCCCGGGAGATGCTGCGGGGCCGGTGTGGCCCCGCCGCTCCCGCCATGGCGGGGCCGTGCCCGCCCCCCCGCCGGGCCCTTTTCCCGCGCTCTGCATTGCGGCGCGTCATCGTCCTGCGCCGCCGCACCGCCCCCAGCGCCGGCAGTGACGTGTGATGGCCACCTCAGGGCTCGGCTGAGGCGGCGGCGGCGGAGCCAAATCTGGGAACTCGGTGAGGCTGAACGAGGGGCTGGGGCTGATCTCTGGCATCTGACAGTGCTGAGCTCCGGGATCCGGCGGGGCTGAGCGCGGGAGGCTGGGGAGCCCGGGGATGCGGTGGGCACTGAGCACTGAGCCCCGGGACGCGGTGGGTGCCGAGCCCCGGGACGCGGTGGGTGCTGAGCACGGAGGCTGAGCCCTGAGATGCTGAGCCGGGTGTGGGGACCCGCGGCCCAGGCTGTGGGGGCTGCGGTGAGGTGTGTGAGAGCCTCCCAGGTGGACACTCAGGAGGCCCTTTGCTTCCTTGCCCAGTGCTCTTGGGCTTCAGCTGTTTCGTGGTGATTCTTTGTGGGAGCCCTTAGTGCATGAGGGGGTTTTCAGAGCAGCCCTGCATGGAAGGAGGGGAGTCTGGGACAGACCCTTTCCTGGGTTCACCGTGGGAGCTGCAAAGGTGGCTGTGTGGAATGTCCACAGATGCTGTGCTTGGGATGCCTTGGGAATTGGAATGGAAATGATGCATGGCATGTTTAAATACAAGTGTGGAATTTAGCGAGTCCCTGTGTGAATGGAAAAGTGCATCCTTTACGTTCTGGCCTCTGATGAGACAAAATGCAGTAGTAAAGGGTTGTTTGGAGTTGTTCCACACCTCAAATCCTGAGGTTGGGTCTGGGCCCCTACTGGCAAGAGAGACATTGAGGGGCTGGAGCGTGTGCAGGGAAGGGAAGGGAGCTGGGAAGGGGCTGGAGCAGCAGGAGCGGCTGAGGGAGCTGGGGGGGCTCAGCCTGGAGAAAAGGAGGCTCAGGGGGGACCTTCTGGCTCTGCAACCCCCTGACAGGAGGGGGGAGCCGGGGGGAGTCGGGCTCTGCTCCCAGGGAACAAGGGACAGGAGGAGAGGGAACGGCCTCCAGTTGTGCCAGGGGAGGGTCAGGTTGGATCTTGGGAAAATTTCTTCAGTGAAAGAGTTGTCCAGCCCTGGCACAGCTGCCCAGGGCAGTGGTGGAGTCCCCATCCCTGCAGGGATTTAAAAGCCATGTGGCTGTGGCACTTGGGGACACGGGTCAGTGGTGGCCTTGGCAGTGCTGGGGAATGGTTGTACTGGATCATCTCAGGGGGCTTTTCCAACCTGAGCAATTCTAGAGGTTTTTTGTGCGAGACTGTTTTTTTGTTGCAGTACATGCACCTTCTCTGACTTTATGCATTATTTGTTTTGTAGGTTGGAACCACAACCCTCGGGCTTAGCCCAGAGCCATGGGTAGGACCTACTTTGTGGAGGAGGGGATCGGGCAGTACCTGTCTGAGCTCAGCACAGCAGTGAAGCCTTATGTCACTGGGCTGCTGATAGGGCAGGTGAGTGTGGCATGGCTGGTTCTGCTCCAGTCACTCCTGGGAACTGGGAAACCCCTGTTCTTGGTGTCGCTCACGCTGTGTTTGCTCACGTGGATGTTGTGGACAGTGCTCCCCACAACGGGACTACGTCATCCGGGCTGTCCGGACCCCTCCCAAGGACCAGCACAAGGAGCAGAACATCCCTCCAAAACTGGCCTCCCTGGATGAGGAGTGGATAACCACACACGCCAGCCAGGTGAGGAACTCACCCTCTGGGACAACAAAGGGGTGGGAGGAACAGAAGGGAAGTGAGATGGTCACAAAGTATCTCATCACTTGCGTGCTCTCCAGCCTTTTTCTCCAAGTGAAAGAACCTCCCTCACCACGCTGGGCACAGATATTTTAAACCAGAAACACCTGTATTGGTTTCAGATTTTTTGATGAAAGGAGCCTTGAGAGCACTGAAGGGAGAACATTTGTAGGGTGTGTTCCTACACTGCAAAGGATCCTATGAGTGAACACTAGGCTCACCTGTTTCTGCATACTTGTCTCCTTTTTGATGAGTTGCAAGGTTTCTGGATCACTGAGTCCTGCTAATAAACGTTCATGTTCATGTTGAAGGTGTCCAGGATGCTCCCTGGCGGGTTGCTGGTTCTTGGTGTGTTTATGATCGTGACCCCAGAGCTGGCAAAGGACGGGCAGAACGCTCTGCGCAAGGTGAGCAGAACTCCTGGGAAGGCAGCAGCATCTCTGCCTGTCTGATGAATTCCCCATCACTGACTTGAGTATATACTCAAGTATATTTTGCTGTTTTAAGTCAGAAAATACAAATATTATGGTTTGATGTGGGTTTTCCAGGCTGAAACTCCAGAAATCCCTGTCCTGTGGGGCACTATTTACTAGCTTTCTGTTTCTTGTTGCTGCAACAGCAAATCTGAATTTGTTTTTGCTGGTTTTATCTCTATTTACTGAATGTGGACATTCTGGCTTAGGAAAAGCATCTTCAAGGTTTATATTAAACCAAATCCTTGTGACACGGGTGTTACTGATGTTAGGTTTCCTTGTCTGAGTGAATTGCTCAGATTAGAGATGTTTACAGTAGTGAAAAATTTATAATTCTTACTCATTTAAAAGAACTATCTTGTCTAGAATTAGTGTATTTGCCTTGGTTGTATGGGGTTAAATTTAAAACTGTCTGATAGACTCGAAATACATTTTTGTTACAATATGGGGTGTATAGGGCTACATTTAGTATCTGTTCTGAGAATGTATGTTCATTTTATCATTTTTGTGAGATAAGCATGCTGAGTGATTTACCCATGAGCAGGTTTGGTAGCCCAAGGTCCAAGACTCAGTTCTGGCAGTTCAGTGCACTGGCACCTCAGTTGTGCTTACTGAAATGAGTTGTTGGCTAAAAAAGGTGTGTCCAGTTGATCAGTGACTACTGAATTTAAATTAGTTGTTTGGTTTCTCTTGATCAATAACTATTTTGCACAGCTGCCTTTCCTGATCCTCGATGGATAGGCAGAAAGCTGTAATTTTCCTGTAAGCAGAAAACCATACAGGTTGGATATGTGAATGTGTGTTACTTTGTTTGGTGTATAAGGAAGCTGAATTAAGATTTCACAAGCCACTTTCACTTTGGAGAAATTGCCTATGAATCCTTGTGGAATGTTCCTTTAACGTGACATTTTGGTGACATGTAAGCTGTGTTTCCTGCTGATACATAATTTTGATATCACTTGGACTTAAAACTTTTGTACAAGGCTATATTCCAGAAATTATAGCATGTAATTTTGTGGAAAAGTCCATAATATTTTTGGTTTTCAGCTAATCTTCTCAGTGGAAAAGTCCCTGACTAAAAGAAGGCTCTGGAAACCTGCTGAGGAGGATGTCTCAGACAGAGCAGCTCTTCAAATCTGTTCTGCTACAAAAAAGTATCCTTTATGAGCAAGGTTTATTGGCTGAGGTTGCTACCCCTGACCTGTGTTATTGCTGATAAGTGAGAAACTGGGAGGAGTGAGTTATCTGAGTTCAGACAGACATAGATCAAATTGAAATTGTGAAGTTTTCTGGTAGGCCATGAGTAAGGCTGTTGACTCTTTTATCCTTGCAAAATTCCCCTAATTTCTTACTGTTAGGTTTGTCTGTGTGGTGGCATCACATTATGCCTTCCCCAGTCAGTCTTGATTAGCTTAAGTTGAAGAAAACATCTAAAATAGTGTTTAGCACCTTGATCTTGCTGTTACCAATGGTGCTTCCATGGAATTGGGGAAGCAGCAGGCATTGGGATCAGTAGTAGTGCTGCAGAAAAGTGCAGGGTCTGTTGGTAATGAGATAATGCAAGGAGAGAAAGGAGGATCTTCCTTGGAGAGGCGAGAGAGACAAGGACAAATTACAAATTGGTGCCCTGGTGGTTCTCCCTGTCAGTACACATTGATCTTAATTTACTGGTAAGAGCTGGGACAGCATCACTGGGGTAGTTGGAATTACAGGCAAATGTTTTTCCGCTTTTTTACACTCATGAAAGGTGAGAACTTCCTTGAGGGCATCAGTTAGCTCCACAGAGAAGTTTAGTAAAGGACAAAGTTAATTATGAGTTGCTCTTACTTCTTTTGCTTTTCACTGAATCTTTTCTTTAAGTAGCAAAGAGTAGTTTGCAGAACCTACAAAGTTAATTGTGAGTTGCTCTTACTTTCACTGAATCTTTTTCTTTAAGTAGCAAAGAGTAGTTTGCAGAACCTACGACGTGCAAGATCCAAAGGTGAGCTCATTCTCCTGTGCCATGGGCAGCTTTTAGTGCATGGCAAGTAATGTTCCAAAAATACATTGCCATCTGAGTTATACAGTGCTTTGTGTAGATGCTTTATGGCTTTTTTTTGTTTTCTCTGCTCTCAGAGTTCAGCTAAACCAGCAGATTGGAAATACCAGAGTGCTCTGTCTGCCTCCTGGTTGGCTTTGAGCTGCACAGTAAATGTTAATATTCACATTCCACTTCTTGCTACTTCCCCAAACCATGACCTGGAGAAGAATACCAAGGTAACTAACTGCCTGCAGCAGTTACTGCATCAATTACTACAGTGATTTCTCTGTTGAAAAATGAAATGAGAGAAAAGATTTGAATAGTTCCATAGAGAAACAGGACTAATCAGGGGAGAATATTTAGCAGTTATTCCTCTTGTAAATGTAATTCTGCTGTGCTCAGTGAGAAGTTTCCGTGGCTCAAAATTACGTAACAATTGTCATGAGCAGTCCAAATAACGTCTCTGCTGCCTCACCTAGTGAAAGGTTACACCCAATTAGAGGAGGGTATGGGGTGCTTTTAGTATGATTTGACTTTCAGTAGCCTGCAACCCTTCCTAAAAACCCCAGATCCCTGGGGTGGCCCTTCAGTGCTTTGTAATTCTTGTTTCTTAATGGCTGTGTTCTGAACATGGTGGGTCTAAGAGTTACCTTTGGAAAAAAACATAGAGACTGTTCTTTCACAGACTTTAAAACTCCCTTGGAGTAACTGTTGAAACATGTATTTCTGTAATTTTCAGTGTGATGCTGCCCAACCCTTTAGTGAAATTCTCTTTCCTCTTTCTGATGAGATTTTTGTGTTTTCACTTACTTCAAAGAACGGGTTAAACCGATGGTCAAAGCAGATAGAAGACAGTGTTTTCCTTATCAATGGACAAGTTAAAGATGATGATACAGAGCTACTGGAAGGGCAGGTGAGTCCCAAACAACAAGGAATTGAGCTCTAATAGATGTGGTTTTGGAACCTCCAGTGTGATGAAGCATTGACTGAGACACCTTTCATACAGTATTTGTTGATCTAATTGACCTGTTCCAGGTCACTGATACTCAGGACTGCTTGTGTTCTTTGCTGCAGGTTCCGTGTTCTTCCTCTGGCAACTTGAACACAATAATTATATGTGCAGTCTGACTAAAATGTTGCTATTAAAGAATGTGAGTGAGGTGTGAATGTAGGTGATGAGATTTCAAAGACCTGCATCTGTCTGAACGTTTATCAAAGAGTTTTTCCTGTTTCATGACACAAAGAATTGTTTTTCCCCTCAGAAAAAGTCAAGAGGAAATACTCAGTCCAGCCCTCAGTTCTCTGATGTCAAGGTGCTGACACAGCTGGTAAGTGTTTAGTGGTTTGCAAAGTATAACCTTTGCTGTTAGATTATAAAATAGAATAAAAAGTAAAATAACATTCTGAATTATTGCCTAGAAATCCAGCTTACTTATTCATAAGAGTGTTTTTCCTCCTGTAGATATTGTTTGATATGATCCCGCTGATTGCTGACAGACCTGCATATTTCATGCCTTTAGAAATTCTCGTGGTGTGAAAACCACGTTGTCAGTGAGTTGCATAACTTGGAAAGACTGGAAAACAGGTTATGGAAAAAGAAGTCCTTCCAACTAATTCATTTGGTAGTAGGACACCTGTATGTACCTGTGTACATTGATTTCAGGGTGACTTTGCATCTAAAGTTCACAGTTGCCCCACGTTTCAACTTGCCTTGGCCACCTGGGACATTCACATGGATGCTTTTGTCAGAAGCTGTCACCAGCTCTGGATGAAGGCACAGATCCTGTGAGCTGGATCATCCTGTGGAGCTGCTGGGTCTGTGTCAGGGGTTTCCTCTGTGCCAGAGGTTGTGATGACCCAGCCTGGGTCCTGAAGCCCAGATGTCTCCAGGCATTACTTTGTAGGCATCTTTGCACAGCACAGGCCATCCTGTTTCATCAGGTAGTTCCTGGATTCTCTTCGGTTTTGTTCAGCAAAACTTCTAGAAATGTGTAAGATGCCATTTTAGAGGTTTGTTGAGTATCTCAGCTTCTTGTCTTGTTCCTCTGTTGTTCCTGTGTACTGTGCTCAGGTTGATTGCCTCAGGGAATGGAGAACTTGATTTGGGCAGGAGTAGTTTGTGCAGCGGGTGTGGGAGTTGTGCATCCCTGTGTTTCCAGGTGTTGGCCCAGAGTGCTTCCTGCACACGAGCATTGTTGTGGTAATTAGGGGGAGCATTCCTGGGCAACAGTTTGATGCAGTTCTAGGTGTGGCCACATGTATAATTTAGTACTGACTGATGGGGTGACTCCCAGGGCACCCTGGGTTACACTGACTACATAGTAAACATTAAAACTTCATTGCTGAAAAAGAAAGGCTTAAAAAGTTTTATTGATTACAATACTGGAAAGTTTTAGAAGGCTTGTACACACAAATACTTGAAACGTCTGGAAAAATAAATACGTTTTCCATAACGCAAAAGAGACTTGGAGTCTCACCTAAACAAACTAAAAAATAAAGTAAAATTAGAGTTATAAATTATGGGGGGAAACAGGTTGTATGTGAACAACTGAAGGTGTGCTATTAATTTCCTAGTCCTGTTCTTTGTTACTGGTGCTGCAGGTGCCTTGGTAAGCAGATAAAGCTGAAATGTTTGCTTTTCAGTGCCAGGGTTCAAGTCCCAGATCGACAGCTGCAGTGCAGGTGTGCAGTGGTTCCATAAACCTCAGGGGGGCTGTGAAGTGCAGAGCCTACATCCATAACAACAAGCCAAGGGTGAAAGAAGCCATTCAGGTACTGAAAAGGGGGTTAGTTCAGCACAAACACTTTTCTGAAATACATGAAATTTGCCACGCTGGTTTCTCTTTGCCGGAATAGTTTATAGCGGGGTCAAAATGTTCATCCCCTTGCATGTTATTGTGTCAATGCCTTGTGATTATTTGTGTTTGGTTTTAGGGCTAAATGTCTAGAAGTTGACAGTTCTTATCCTAAAGTTCCTAAACCTTTCCTCAGCTTTTCATTTTTGTTTTGTTGTTTTCTTTCTGGATGTTAATTCTTTTGATGTTAGCTTCTCTTTATTGAGCTTTTAAAATTCGCATTAGTTCTGATGTTCTGGGAAAAACTATTCTTTCACCATGGGTTAAACCTATGAGGGGCTGGGGTTATTTCTTACTAGTCAAAATTTGCAAATGGCTTTTATATTACTGATAATTATATTTATATTACTGATGATTTCACTTTGTCCTTGCAGGCTTTGAAAAGGGACATAATAAACACATTGAGTGATAGGTGTGAAATACTGTTTGAAGATCTGATTTTAAATGAAGGACCTCAGAAAAAAAGTAAGAAAAATAAAACCCCCAGCAACTTATATTTGCAGTGAATTTTGGTTGTTGTGAAAAATTCTGCTGGTGTAGTGAAGATCCAGTGTGGTTAGAGCAGAATAAAAAGCAAGATCTCTGAGCTCCTGCTGGGGATTCTTTAAACTTCTTTGAGCAGGGCAGTGGTGTCAAGTTACCTTGTTGTTGTGTTTAAATAAAAGATTAGTGAATTGAAATAGCAGTTTGAGTGTCTTAGGTGAAGGAAAGCCTTTTCTTTTGCATGTAGTTCTGAGTTTGCTCTTTAGGTGGCACCCGAACTTTGTGTCTGCAATCCTGTGTGGTGGTGAAATCCTTATCTGCAGGCTCTCCTGGAGTTCTGCTGGTCATTCCAAACAGGAGAAAAGCTCTACTTGAACTTTTATGGTCTGTTTTAGAGCTCTCTTGGATACTTCTGGAGAGACTAATAATGTAAGTTATATAACTAATAATAAATCAATATAACAGCAGCCAAAACTTCCACAAAACAGCAGCAGCTGAACAATTTCAGCCATGCCTGAAATCAGGATTTTTACATGGAGACCTTGAGCAGTTCTTTTGCAATAGTTTTATCTTATGGCCAGGGTTTAAGGAGGAATCTTATTGTAACTGGCATGATATTTTCCCCCTTTCCTTGTAGGTTTTGAGAGGGAATACCATGTCTTGCCTCAGAGGCTCTTTGTCCCCGTGCCCGGGTCCAGTGTGATGCTCAGCGACTACAAGTTTGGCGACGAGGCCGCCGGAGAGATCCAGGAGCGTTTTGTGGAGATGTTGGATCAGGCTGTGCAAGCTGAAGATGTGCACATAGCAGAGGGAATCAGCACAGGTGAGTGTCTGAGAACCAGGACAGGCTGGATCCTTTCTGAGGAAAACGTTGGCTGATGGCATAGGCCAGTTTTATCCAGATGTGGACATGCCCAAAGGCAGCTTGCTTCGTACAAGCTCTACGGGTTTACATCTAATAACAAATTCAAGATATTTGTGGAAAATAGTAACTTTCTTGCAGTTTCTGTGTTTCTTGTAACAGACTTTTGTTTCTCCTCTCAAGTGTTTTCCCTTTTCACTGCATTGTCTGTGCACTCAGGGCTGCAGCCCATGAACTGCAGGAGGTACAGAAAGAGATGGTCACACAAGGTTACTCTGCACTTGAGTTAGGGATGATCCCATATTGACAAATAAACTGTAAGAAAAACCTGCAAAGCTTTATTTTCTTTATATTAATATATATATTTACTCTTTCGGTAGTCCAGTTTTTTTAGAGCTGAATAGTTCTGATACTGCTTAAAATAAGTTAGAATAAGAAGTTGAGTGATTTAGTCAAGTCTACTATTTTTTCCCTACAGAATTAAAAAATGCTTTAAAAGTCTATTAGCAAAAAATACAAATACTGTGTCCTTCAGGAAATTTTCATGCTAAATCTGACTTTTTTAAAAAAAAGTTTCTTTGTTCTGAGTATTTTATAACAAATGCAGTACCCAAACCTGAAGATAAGTGATTCACTCAAAATGAAAAGAAACTTGAGAGGGCTTTTAATTTCTGCTGAATGTCTTTAAAGTTTATGATCTGATTATGAGACTTATATTCCCTTTAACAGATACTTTGCTATAATCTAGTCACTGACTTCCTTTTTCTGAATATTTCTGGTTCATATCATTCCCTGTTGGCTTTTTTTTTTCCCTATGTGATGTTGATTTTAATGCAGAAGTGAAACCTGATGTTGAAATGCATCCTGTGATCTCATGGAAGAGATTTTTCTCTCTTTCTTTCCCTCCATCAACATGAATACGAACTGCAGGTTACAGTTTTATAATTTAAATTTAAAAAGAATGGCATCAATTCTCATATAAGGGCTCAGAATACTTTTTTGTCGGTATTTAGGGACAAAAACTGGGAAGTGAAGCCATGACTTGTTGTGCAGGGTGAGCTGTGACTATTGATATTCTCCTTGACCCACTTGTGTACTTGGAGGGGTTTTTGAGTTTCTTAATGTCAGAGCTCACCCTAAATTCTTTTTATCTTTCTAAATGAATCAGTTCCTCCCCAAGGCTTGAACTAAACCTGTCAGCTGTGAACTGACTCATCATATGGAGAAGCAAGAGGTGTCCACAGCTCAGGGACCTCAAGGAAAACAGGAAAGCCAATAAAAATCTCTCTGGCATTATTAGAGTAACTTTAATACTCTTACAGCTTTAAGGAACCAGTGTAACTTAGGGAAGCAAATTAGTATTGTAGCAGTGGATGTAGGTGTGGGAGAGAGGAGATGATTCAGTTGAGCTTTATTGTGTGATCTGGAGGTGAGAAGAAAACCCCTTTGCACTGACAGCAGTGCCTCCCAAAGATTGCTGCCCACACTGTGTGTGTGAAAGGGTGGCCACAAAAAGAGCTTGGGTGGTCTGGTAGCTTGCTGGGTGTAGAGTCTGGGAGGAGATTTATGTTCTTTAACAAAAAAAAAAAGACAAATTTAAAATTAATTTAATTGCTAAATTAAAGTAAGTGCTTATTTTCTTTAGGGGGGAAAAAACCCAACCCACAGATTAAAGTAAGTGCATAGAAGAAAAGAAGGAAAACCATACAAATAGGATTTTAGGAAAACCTGGCCTTGTCCTGGAGAACAACATAAAGATTGTTCATAGAACAGGGTCTGATCATTCTGATAATTACTGATGTGGCATCATTAACTCCTGGCTTATTAAAATCACAATGTATTTATACACTTCTATCCCATCAGAAGGGTCATTTTAGAAATGAGACCTATTAACTGCATAAGAAAAGTGTTTTGCATTCTAAGAGAAAACATTAATTAAGCAATTTGATTTTTGTATGGTTGCTTTGGTATGAAGTGTCCAAGTATTGCTGTGACCAGGTTTTTGTGGCATAACAGCAGTTGGGGGTTTCCCTTGTGTGAAGGCTTTTCCAATTCTGATTTGGGCATCATGTGATGGTTCTCTGTTAGTAATAGCCAATATTCAGTAGTTGGTTTGTCAACAACCTTTCTATTTGAATCACAGTTCCTGTGGTCTGAGGCACCAACCTTGAATTAACTGGCAATGGGGAAAGTTTGCTGATATAAACTGTCTAAAATTCAAGAGCACAAGCAGGCTTTTGAAATAATTTTATTTTTGCTCTTCAAAATATGCTCTTGAGAAGAAAAGGACCTATCAGTATAGGCAAAAGATTTACTTTTTAAACAACTTTTAGTCAAAACATAGGAAATTTTGAGAGGGTCACTTTTATGTGCTTACTGAGCTTGGCCTCTGCTGCTGTTTCCTCCGGTTTTATTCTCTTGATTCCTTGGACAACTCTCCAGTGAGGACACTACTGGGTCGTGCTTAAAAATTGCTACATGGAAAATAGAGAGTAAAACCTGAGCTATTTATAAATGAAAGACATAAATAGCTCTAACACTAGTTTCAAGGTATTTAGTGCTTTAAAACAGGCAGCTGAGAGCTCTGCATTTCTGATTGGCTTTACTAAATCCCTGCCCCTCCTCGGCGCAGCGGGTGGGGATAGACAGAAATAAGACTTCAGCAATGGTAATCACCTCCCCACCTCTGTTAGGGAACTGAAGACTTAGTGAAGAATTGAGGATTCATAGAATTGCTACTGGAAAACATCTGCTATTAAAACTTTGTATGAATTATGCTACAGCTGCTACACATGCACGTCCTTCCAGAAATGCCTTTGGTAACTAAATAGCTCAAGGCTGGTTCTTTTTCTTTTTCCCCTTTTTTTTTTTTGGGGGGGTATTTTCCCCTCTGAGGAATGTGCAGCTGCCTTGATGTGCAGCTTCCAAAGGTGCCTTCAGAAAAGCCCAGCAGTTCTTAGGAAGGCACAAAGAAACATGAAGTTAGAGGGCACAGACCATCCTACCTGCTCATCACACCTAAAGCAGAAAGGAACCTGCTGGATCTAGACTTCAAAGGTGACCCCAGAAGTGCTAGTTTATCCCAAAGTGGTATGTTTTAGGGAATTCAGAATTGGACAGAATGTGGTGCTCACACTGTGCTAGTTAAGATACTTACTAAAAAACTGTATTGCAACAAATAATAATTCCTCTACCTGAACATTTCTGCTCATATTTTAGGCAGTCCTTGGCACAGAAAAAATAATGATGAAACCACTCATTGATGAAACCTCTTTAAGGACCAGTGGGATTCAGTGATATTTGATAATTTCTCTTAAAAAACCCACACTTTGAAATGTTTTGAAATGCATTGAATTGTTGTGTTGATATTTTGATTTTATGTGTATGTGCAGCTTACACAGAGATCTCCAACCCACGTTTTGCTTAATAAATGGACATGTATGTGTCTGGATATCTGTATATCTGACTATCTTGTGAAGTTTCATATCAGACAGTTATTAATTGCTCTGCTGCAGCACATCCTATACAAATTCAGTGGGTTTAGGGATAAAAATGGCTAATACCAGATCCTAAAAGTCTAGTTTGAGTGCTTCTCTGTAACAGGTCTTGTCCAGGTTTGACTTGAGAAGATTTTGAAGTCAGTCATCCTCATGAGTCATCTGAGATGACAGAAACAACCTTTCTGATCACATCCAGATTATACATTTCCACCATAGCTAATGATAGAGAAAGTACTTTGTGAATCATTTGCATATGAATCATACAAAGGATGTGCCTTATTACTCAAGTATGTAACTTGTAATTTATAGCTGATGGACAGCCCCACTGGGTGGTGGTGGAAACAGGAGCTCTGTTTTAATTTAGATCAGTGTTCCATGGACTCCTCAAACTTGGTATCTGGTACTGCTGGGAGGATTTCTTTGTCTTCTGGACAATCTCTTAGGCTCGTTCTCTTATCTCAGTGTGCCTGTTCTGTTCTTCCCAGAGACCCCCAGCTCTCACTGCAACAGCACAAACACTTTCTCTGGCTGGTTGCTCATCCAGAAGTTGTCTGCAGTCATAGCTACTGAATTGTAATCCAAACTTTTGCCAAGTGATGCCTTAGCAAACCCTCCTGGGAATGGGAATGCAAACTGAAGGCCTTTGGCCCACCACCATCAAGTAACCTTAGCACTGAGCTGGGATTCCATGCTGGCTCTGGGTGGCACAAACAGTTCAGGGGGAGGACTGGAGATTGTGGCCCTCCTTTCTCTCCTCCCTGTCTCTAGCAAGCTGGGGATAGCCAAGTGGTGAGGGAAATCTTTGGGAAGGAAATAGATACGGATTTGAATCCCATCTGTCTGGAAATAGATTCAAGCTCTCTCACATCCTGGCTGAGCAGACTAAGGATTTAGTAATCACTCCAAAGAAGCATGAGGCCTCTATGCCTGCTCAGAAAGGGTGTTTCTATGGGATCTTCAACAAGAAGTTGCTGTGGTTTGAAGAAATGCATTGATGGCTGTTGGGTAGGGAGGTGATGCTGGGCTCATCCTTCTGTGGCAGTGGGTTGGCACATTGCCTGAGCTCAGGGCAGATGGCTCTGAAAGGAAACTCTGATCCTGGAAAGTGGTTAATGGTAAATTTTGGTGATTCCCCCTCAGAGCAGTCAAACTCTGCCCAGGCTATGCAAATACAGTTGGGTATGTTACCATGGAAGCAGGGTGTGGAAAATGAGTTTCAGAAGAGGAACTCCTCCCCAAATGCACTTTGTCTCTTTAGTTTTACTCTCACACCCATATAGAACAGTTTAGCACTGTGTTGTTGCTAATGTGCTGCTTCAGTAAACTGCTTTTTGTGCCATAAATATAGTTGATGTGAAGTTGTTGGGCCTTTTGCATTAATGAATTGTAAACCACAACTGATAGTTTTCCCCCTGGTATTTACTTCTTCCCTTGATTTCCATGCAGTTGATATTTGTCCAGTTCCTGACAGCCTGGAGGACACACAACAGACACAGCTGACAAAAGCAACATTGCTGTTGAAGCTCCAACAAAATATGGGTATGTTGCTTCCCAGATTTTTGCTGTGGCAATCCCAAACCTGCAGTGGACCCTTTGTGTTTGCTCCCACAGCATCCCAATTTTAAGCCTCAGTAATTCAGCCACAGAACCCTCCTTTTCAATGCAACTTCTCCACGATACTCCCTTGTCCAGCCCCCATATATGTCTGCTCTCAGTACAGTTCTCTTGGCTGGAAGTCTTCTAGAATTAAAATACAGTTATACTTTAGTCAACAAAGCAGTAACTTCTGCTTTCTGTTTGTTCTTAGAAGTAGAACATGGTAACTGGAAGATTAAATGTGTGTTTGCTATAGATATATAAATATCTTTCCTTAAATCATTACTCAGGTGTTTTGGGGTTTTCTTGTGTGTCTTCTGAGCTGCATCAGTAATGAGCAAGTTGTTCAACAGGGAAATGACTGTTGTGCTACAAAGAGACCTACCAAGTACATGTAGTGCTGCACAGAAAAGAAAAAACTTCATAGCTTTTGTTTCCTTAACTTTCAGTTATTTTTTCCCAGTCTGATTCCTAGAATGGAGTCAGTGCCTTATTTTATGGCCAGGGTACTACAGAAGTGTGCAGCCAGCTGGATCTCTGGAAGGGTCCTGCTCTGACTAGAAATGTCATGTGGAGCTTTTATGATTTATTTATCCGACACTGTAGCTTTAGATTGAGGGTTAGTGGTGTTAGGTAGCTCACAGAATCACAGAATGTCCTGAGTGGGAAGGGCCCCACAGGACCATCCAGTGCAACCCTTGGCCTTTCACAGACACCCGAACAATCCCACCCTGACCTTGAGAGTGTTGTCCAAACCCTCCTGGAGCTCTGGCAGCCTTGGTGCTGTGCCCACTGCCCTGGGGAGCCTGGTCAGTGCCCAACCAGCCTCTGGGGGAAGAACCTTTTCCTGACAAAAGCAGTTTTTGGGGTGGCTCTTTGGTTTCTCCTCGGGCACATTCACCTGCCCCTGCCCTCCCTGTGCTGCCCTTGGCCCCTCACTCCCGTGTTTCTCTGTTATTCCAGGTGTGGTGGTGGCAGCTGCTGTTGCAGTCCTTGCATCCATCTTCTCTTTCAACTACTTCAGTGACTGAGCTGCAGCCCCTGGAGCTCCATGAAACGTTGGCCATTTCCAAGATGGAAACAGCTGGGTTTAATGGATTTGTAATTAATCATTGCCAAAATATCCCCAGGTAGATGTGCAATCTCAGTGTAATGGTAGGCTCAGTTACCTTGTTCCAGCATGCACTTCATGTATCAAGTAGAATTATGCAGGTACAGAATCAAGTAGAAAGTGAATCAAGTTTACAAGAAACCAACCCTGTTGCTCCATATAAATGAATGATAATATTATTTTTTAGAAGGAGCCCTTAAAAAGAAATATGGAACCTTCATTTTCTTCCTGCTGACTCCTTCAGTACAAAATGCTGCTCCTGGTGTTTCTCAGGCTACTGGTAAGACTAGTGTAGTTACCTGGTATGACAATTCCTGCTTTAATTTGCTAAGAGAAATCTCATCTCATTAAAATTAATTGGGGAAAAATTAGATTTACTTTTAGGTAATACTGGTTAACTAGCACAAAAGGTATACAAATAGTTTCTAGAATTTTCAAGACTAGACCAAGGCAGCCTGTAAATACCTTAGTTCAAGATCTGGAGAACTCAGAAATCAATAAATTTCTCTGTCCAGCTCTTATTCAATCCTTGTTCTCTTGGAATATTAACTATTTCAGCAACAGCTACGTGTAGGCAGCCCTTGTGGTTTATCTTGTAGGTACATGCAAGTTGTCAAAATTATTGCTAATCAGGATTTTCAGACTATAAACAGAAATCTTTCCATTATAGGATATTTTCCAAGGTACACTGGGCTATAACAGGTTTACTTGCCATGAGGAGAGGTGAAGGAGGGAAGAATTCTAGGAAGGTTAATAAAGATAATTTGTATATGAAATGTGATGTTTACTTGGACCTGAGCTACAACAGAAAAGAGTTCCAGATTTTAAGGCATTTTAATACCACTGCAAATACCTTTTTTTGTTTAAAGGCACTGGAACACAAAGAAAAAATAAACACTTTCGTTCTAAAGCGTAATCAAGGATGTACTGGGATAACTTTTATTAAAGGCAACTGTGAGAAAGGTGTCTTAACTGGTGTTGCCTCATCTGTGTATCCTGTTTTTACATGTTTGGGAAAAATTGCTGCTTTTAGTATTGTGAGTATCCTTTGAAACACAACATTGACCTTTCGTGCTCAGTATTGCTCAAGCAGGACCTCCTGGAGGAAGGTGGATGTTGTAATGGGGAAATTGGGTTCAGCTCTGTGGGCTTTATAGTTGCATTTTATTCTGTGCTAGTGGGTGGAATCAAAAGCAAGATGGCATCATGCACAAGCAGTTCCTCCAGAGGAGGCTGAGGGTTATCCAGAAAATGGGGTTAATTTTGTAACCTGCTTCAAAGGGGGGTTGGCTTAAAAATTGCTCTGCTAAAGTCTCTGTTAGAAGGAGGGGCAGGGCATAATGAAAAGCAAAGAGTTTGTCTTTTATCTCTTTTTTTTTTTTTTTTTTTTTTTTTTGGAAGGGGTGGGATGAGGAGGTAGAATACAAAATTTGGGAGGTAAAATATGAAATAGTTACTCTGTAGTTGCCTGTTGCACACAACTCAGCCACGGAAGTGAAGTACAGCATTGTGAGATGCTCAGTGTCTGATACCAGAGAAGAAAATGGTCGTGAAACACTCATCCCATAGTTCTTCTCCTTTAGTACTTGTGGTGTAAAACATAAAGCTTGTTGGGATGTATAATTCCATGGGACCCCTAGCAGAGAACTCTGTTTTTCTTCCCCCCCTGCGAGCTCACTCAGTGTTTAGTGAATGATGCTTTTCTCTAGGGTCTTACTAAAGATGGTCAAATTAACCCCCAGCTTATAACTAACTGGGTATCAAGGATCTGTGGAAGTCTGGTTTTCCAATTTGAACTTGGAAGAAGGCAAAGAAATTGCTTTTGATGGGATTTCTGCTTTCATACCAGAATAAGAATATGTGCAATAAGAAATTAATTTAACCCTGTCAAAGTAAAAATGAGTAATTTGACTTGTACCTACAGATTGAGCCTTCCAGTCATCCTGCCATGAGGAAACAGGGCATGTGGAAGAAAGCAGGTTCTGACTTGTCTGAGAATTACAGGACTAACCAAGAGGGGATTTCATGGTCCCATCCTTTTTTGTTGGCCATTGAGAACGTAAGGAAATGAGGGCTTAGGATAAATGAAAGAGTGCGTGTAAGAGAAAAGAAACCTTTTAAAAGTTTCTTTCTTGGGTTACTGCATAACTCTAGCTCAGGTTTCATACAAGTTTATCCTTTTCCTATCCAATCCTCTGAAGCTTTCAGTCTGTGAAAACTCCGTTGTGACTGAAACTGAGCTTTGTTAACTCGTGTGCACCACTGGAAATCTGTTTTAATTTTGATATGTAAGAGTCCAGAGGAATGGTTTGCACTTCAACAGCTGAAAGTCTGGCTCTTCTAAGCATGGTTCTAAAATTGATGTTACAAAATAATTTTACAGAAGCCTTATTTTCTGGGCTATGTGGCTTTAAAATGTAGTTTTGAAAAGCCTCAGTGGTCTGGGTCAATGAGGTTTACGGTCCCTCACATCTGAGGGCAGCATTTGATGTGGTGGCAACAGACAGGCTGGGAGGATTTGACCCCAGCTGGCAACGAAAGGACCACACAGGGCTCACTCCCCTCCCTGGGGCAGGGGGAGGAGGGTTGGGACGGAGGGACAACTCTTGGGTTGCCATGAGAACAGTTTAATAATTGAAATAAAGTAAAGCATAATCATAGTAATGAAAAGGGACATAACAAAAAGAGCAAGAATACAACCCCAGACAGAAAAGTGATGCCCAAGGCAGTTGCTTACCACCCACTGCATCCAAAGCACAGCCTCCCTGGGCTGGATGCTGGGAAGAGAAATAACTCTGCCAGCTGACAGCAGGACACTTGGATCTACCAGAGGTTTTGTCTTGGTTTGATCAGCAGTGACACCAGTGATAAGATCAATATTTGGGGACACTCAGGGTCTCTGTGCCTTTGAGTCTGAAGGAAGAGGAACCATAGCCCAGGGCAGCAGGGAGGTGCCCCCATGTGCTTTTTGAAGCATTTACTGTTTGTTACTCAAAAAACCTTTGTACAGTAATAAATGTGTTTGAGTCAAGTCTTGCTTTTGGGTTTTTTTTAAGGTTTTTTCTTTTTTTTTTTCCCTGCAGAAACCTGGATAACTGCTGTGATCAGAGCTTTATTTGCAACTTCATTAGTCATGAGCTTCTGTTGAGGCTTGGTGGCGCATGTGTTTGCTCTCTCTTTGTTTTTTTGTTTGAAATTACAGGTTGAAGGAAATCCTGCTTAAGCATGCTTAATCCTTCTCTTAAACTGGAGTGTCAGCTTATGTCTTACAATAGCTATGAGTCCAGTTTTTGTGGTGGTAATGGTAGTTTTTTTGCTTTCAGCCTGATTTTCAAAGAAATCAAGTTTATGTTACGAGGCTGCTGATGTGCAGCCTAATGGCTTTTGAACCAAGTTGGATAAAGAGGGAAAGTTCTCAAGAACTTTAAGTTCCCACCACTTACATGGAGATTTTCTGGTGTGCAAAGGACAGAAATTTTTCACTAATCTTCTTTAAGACATGTCATAAAAAAATACAAGTGAAATATTGACCTGCTACCCAGGTAACTGGTTATTTTTGTGATGGACAGAGAAAATTCATTATTTTCTACGTAATCTTTTATAAGATCACTGGATTTCCATTATGTTGGGTGGATCTACAAATGGTAGATCTGCAAATATTCTGAGCACTGCTCCAAGGGAGAAGCTTTATTCCACCTGGAGTTCCCTCAGAAAGACTTATGACACTCTCTCACTCAGCAATTTACAGCATGGAAATCATAACATTTTGGGAACATGTTTTTGGAATTCTTGGTGGAATAAAATCATGAATTGTTTTACAGATTGTTAAAGAAGATTGTACAAGAGCTGAAAAGGAACTTCATTTGTTAGCTTAGTGTACATGAGGTGAGGTTTCTAGAGCTCTGTTAAAATATCCATTGCAAAAACAATATTAAAAGTAGAAAATCAGCGGCATTTTCGTAGTTTCTAAAAATGAACCAACAAAAGAGAAATAATCTTTATAACTTTCTGATAATCCCAAATGTTATCAGCAAAACTGTGCTGCTAAGATCAAAAGTTACAGATACAGAGTCAAATTCAGCCTTCAGCTTTGCCAGCGTGCAAAAGCCATTGAAGTGTCCAGTGCTTTGTTGTGTTCTGTCAGAACTAGAGGAGGTGGAGTTTTTAGACCGAGAGAGGAAGGTTTATAGTGAGTTTTCCCTCAGATTGTTAAATTGTAGTTCTCAGCAGCTTCCCTTTAAAAAAACTCAAAACTTTGGGCTTAGGAACTGTCTAATGAGTGCTTACTAATATTTCACATGTTTTAAGGCTAAGGTTGTGTACTACCAATATATTTCACACTTCCAGTGGCAGGTCTCAAGGGCTGTTAAGCTTTATTCAGAGTTGTTACATAAGCACAATATACTTTTTCAGATACTGCAGACATTTTAAACATTGCTGCTCAACATGTGGAGCACCCATGAACTGAAAGGAGCTGATGCTGTGTCTGTGTTTGCTGTTGTGAGAGCAACACTTCTGTAGTGTTGTCACAGAAGTGACAACAAGAAGGGTGAGAAATTTATTTCTTTTCATGAATATCGAATATTAAATGTGGAAGCATAAAATATTGTCCTGGTTACCTAAGTTATTTAGGAATGCGAGGACTTTGGGCTGTTTGTCCTTCAGTCTGCTTTTTCCTACCCGAGTTGGTAGAAGTGTATCTGAGGAGCCATAATCCAGAGCATGGACATGGCTTTTTGTGTGCACAGAGGGATGGGTCAGTCTGTGAAATGAAGGTCTTGTGCTTCTTGGAGACAAGCATGGGCCCTCAGTTTTTAATCCTTTTTACCTTCACATCTTAAAGATCACCAGCATTGTCTGCTGTTCTTCCTATTACTTGTGGCTGCCATAGAGATAATTATGTGCGGGACTGCCAGTTGTGTGTGTTTGAAGTAAAATTCATATCCTAACAGTTAAATAATTTTGTATCTTTGTATCTTACAAGTAAGTTAGCAAAGACAGCCTTCTCTAAACGAGATGGGTGTTACTGACATTGATTTACAGCTTACTGAGGAGGAAAGGGACACAGCGAGCACTGTGGCTCTGACTATTCAACATCCTGCTCATCCGTGTTGCCATTTCCCAGGGCGGGCAGCGTCCCCTCAGGCAGCAGCCCGTACTCATTCAGGAAAGCCTCCACATCCACAGCAAAGAACTCCTCATTGAACTGTTCAGAAACACTAATGAAATTGCTCAGCAGCTCCCCAGCCTTGTAGACCAGTAGGGAGGGGAGCACCTCGTTGGAGAAGCGATCTCCAGCCCCGGTGCTGGAGGCCTTGATCTTGCAGAACTTCACGGTGGGGTACTCTGCGGCCAGGCAGGTCAGGCTGCTGTTGAGGGCATCGCAGCCCTTCACACCATCTTCGTAAATGTGCACTATCACCGTGGTGGTTTTGTGTTCCTTCTCCACGGCCTCCAGGAACTGTTCCCCGTTCTGCAGCTCACACAGGTAACCAAATTTGGGCCCGAAGCTGAGCCGCTGGTGCATGTCCTGCATGCAGCGCTTGCGGTACTGCTGTAGGCAGCTCTCGTCCTCCTGCGCGTCGTGGATCAGCTCGTACTCCTGCATGCTCATCTGGGGGTGCCAGAGAATGTCGAGTTAGTGAGGGCTAAGCCCTCAGTGCTGACATGGGAAGAGCCCTAGCTGTTGTCTAAAGAACATCCAAGCTGACCCAGAAGAGCTGTCACTGCCTGCAGTGACTCTGGAAGGTCTCCTCAAGATGTGGGTGAAGGTCCTGCCTCAACACTTCCATGTCAACATAACAGTTGCCACATTGACAAAAAGCTCTGGATCTTCCAGAGTTGGTAGGAATTTTGTCACTGACTGCAGTGGGCTCCAAGTTTAATTCCTGTGTTTTTGGGGGTTTGGGTCGCCCCCGTTCAGACCTGGCAGGTGGTCATGAGTGACATTCAGGCTCAGAGCTCTGT